CTGGGTCTGTGCTGCTTTCTCTCCCCAGTCACAGCCACCAGAGAGACAATTCCCAGCCAGGCCACCTCTCCCACATCCAAATGCTTCTCAGCTCCTCCCAGCCCCGGATAATCCTGATGAATTTTCTGAAATAGCCCATATAAAACAGAAAACAAGTCTGGAAGGTTTTGTCTCTGAGGTAATTTACTAAATAGTCCATAAATGTCTAATTTAACAGGAGCCATCCTACCTTGAAATCACTGCCTGGAGAGTTCAGAAGCATATTTCCTTTTTGTGGTAGAAGGGATAGAAAAAGAAATTCAGCAACCTCCTAAAACAGATGACTTTGTTTAAATTCCTTCCAGAATTGTGGTTTCATACTAAGAGACCCAGGCTTGCTACCAGGACATCTTTTTTCCAGGAAGATGACAATTTAATTGAGCCAGCATTCTCCATGCAGAAAAAAGGGCACGGGGATATGTGAACTGACACAGGAGCATTTCTGTAAAACACTCACACGCTCAATGCTGAGTGTGTGCCCAGCCCTGCTCCTGCTCCTGGTGCAGGAATGCCATGCCAGCCTGCAAACTCAAGTGCAGCTTAACAGATGAGCCTGAAGACCTCAAAGGAGCAGCAGGTCAGACCCCATCCCTCACAAACTGCCTGCTTGCCGCTCAAAGTGAGGCCAGCTCGTCCCAGATGAGGATCCATCCTAGGATTTCCTATTGAAGCATTAAATTGGAGCTGTGTCCTCAGCAATGCCGCTCCCAGCAGAGGTGGAGGTGCCACATTCACCAGGGATCTGCTTTGTCCTTTCCCTCCACTTCAAATGTCCCATCCCAAGTGCCAAAGGTGACATTAACAAAGCTCTGTTGTCCCTGCCCTTCTCCCTGGCTATGCTGGAATATTGAGGCAGCACTGAGTGAGGACTGTCAGCATTCACACTCTTGTCACTGCAGGCTCCATCTGGGACAGAAATAAGCAGAAATTAGTGGTAGATAGGAAATAAAATCTTAATATATCCACTTGCAAGAGGGAGGCAGCTCCAGAGGGTCTGTGAGGCAAAGCAGCAGCAGCCCCTGGGTAAAATCAAGTCTTGCACAGCCAAGAGCCTCCATGGGCTGAGCAGAGCTGGAAAAGGCACCTGAGGAGCTGGGGCTGATGTGGCTGCACAAAGTCCTTCAGGATGGGGGTGATGGGGTCATTCCCACTGGTGCTGCCAGCAGCACGAGGAGGTTTGGTGTCCTGGGCTGAGCGCAGGGGTGGGGAACCTCTGTGATGGTGAGTGTGGGATGTGGTTCCTTCACCCAGGCTGAAAACAGGGCCTGAGGCCATCAGAGGGGTTTTAACAGAACAGGGGAGCACCAAAGGTTAATCCAGGTCCTGTTGTGGTCACACAGTGAGGTGTTGGCAGACTGGGAAAGGACAAATTCATAAAATCGTTGGAATTATCAAATCCCAGAGTGGTTTGGGCTGAAGGGACATCCAATCCCAGAGTGGTTTGGGTTGAAGGGACATCAAATCCCAGCGTGGTTTGGGTTAGAGGAACATCAAATCCCAGAATGGTTTGGGCTGAAGGGACATCAAATCCCAGCGTGGTTTGGGTTGAAAGGATACAAAATCCCAGAATGGTTTGGGTTGAAGAGACATCAAATCCCAGCGTGGTTTGGGTTAGAGGAACATCAAATCCCAGAATGGTTTGGGTTGAAAGGACATCCAATCCCAGAATGGTTTGGGCTGAAGGGACATCAAATCGGAGTGATTTGGGTTGAAGGGACGTCAAATCTCAGAATGGTTTGGGATGAAGGGACATCAAATCCCAGCGTGGTTTGGGTTGAAGAGACATGAAATCCCACAATGGTTTGGGATGAAGGGGTGTTAAAGCTCATCCCATCCCATCCCATCCCTCTGCCATGGACAGGGACACCTTCCACTGGACATCCAGCCTGGACTTCGCCTCTGGTTTTCCCAAACTCATAAAGCACAACCCCAGCTAAAAAGGCACCACAAATCTGTCCCCACCTCTTCCCCTCCTGCAACATTTCCCATTTCAAGAGGAGAGATTATTGATTGTTCAGCTTGTTGTACAGGCTGGCATGATTTATTTAAGCATTTGCCAATAAACACCAGGATGGGAGGCTGTTTTTCCAGCATTCCCACAGTGGAGCACTAGAGGAAACAATAACCAGCCCTGTGATTGTTACTGTGGGACTTCTCCTGCCAATTACACTGAGTTACAAGTTTCAGTTATGGGATATAAAATAATTAACTTCATAAGGTCCAAGAAGAATTGCTTGCTCTCTAGGAAGGATCTTCTTCCTCTGCTTTTTTATGCCAACACAATGTATAATGACTGGAGGTTAAAAAAACACTCTGCAGACTCCACAGAACTCGGTATTTCATCACTTCAGCCGCTCAGCACCATTTTAATAACAAAAACAGGTTGTCAGGGTCATAAACCCCAGGTGAACGTTCCCTTCCTGCCCACATTCCCCTGGCAGGAACAGGACTTTCAGCCAGAGGAGCACTGCATGAAAACAAAGTGCATTTAGCCACAGCTCTGGGAGATTTGTCATATAAGTTTGAGCTTAATGAAAATAAAAATCAAATTAAGGATCTTGCAAAATCTTCCTTGGGATTTTTCAAGTGATGAGATTTAATTAAAAGTAAGCAAGGAAAAAGGAAAGCCTTGCATGGACTGAGAGGAATAACCCAGAACTGCATTCAGGACAGTGTGGGCAGACACTGGGAGGTGAAATGAGGAGCAGTGAGCCCTGGTGAGGAAGGATTTTTCTCAGGGATGGTTTCACCTGCTCAGAGCATCCTGAGGGATCTCTGCAGACTGGAGCAGCCTCCTCCTATACTGGTTTAACTGGGATGGAAACAGGGTGAGGGCTGGGACACAACAAAAGGGTGCCGTGGATTATTGATTTATATAAAATCATGGAATCCCAGAGTGGTTTGGGTTGGAAGGGACTTTAAAGTTCATCTTATTCCACCCCTGCCATGGGCAGGGACACCTTCCACTGTTCCAGGGTGCTCCAAGCCCTGTCCAACCTTCGAGGGACACTTGGAATAGAATGGATAGAATTGGATAGAATTCCCAGGGGCAGCCACAGCTTCTCTGGGAATTCTATCCCAGCCTCTCCTCACCCTCACAAGGAGGAATTTCTCCCTAATCTCTCACCTAAACTTCCCCTCTCTCAGTCTGACTCAGACTCACATCCATTTATTGACTCCTTTGAGCCCTAATAAATATCTGAGATGTGTAGCTGAAGGTTCAGATTACATTTTGGATCCAAACTAGGTCACATTTGCTTCCAAAGCCAAAAATAAGCTCTTATTCCAAAACCACAGGATAAACAGAAGCCTTTCCATCATCATGGAGCATTCTTCAGCCTGATGTTCCTTTCAGAGCACAGACCCTCTCATGCATAAATGCCATGGTAGGACAAGGATTCAGGAGTGGCGGGTTAATGTAATAATGTTTTGCAAAATGAGAAAAATAATCAAATAAGCCCTCAAATGGAAATGTTGGCATTCACTCCCAACAGTGCAGTGTCAAAAAAGGAGATTATAATTACCTCTAAGGCTCACAACAGCAAATGCAGTTTCCCACTGGAGTTTTACCTCTATATTAAAAAATCTCCAAATTTACAGGTATTGGCTCCATTAAGCCCTGTGGAAATCCTGCACTGTAAAGCTCATAATCCTCCCCTCAGACCTCCCAGCACCTGGGGGTGTCCCCAGCTGAGGAGCAGGAAAATCTCTGCACCCAGAGCAATTCCCTCCCTTTCATAGGATGTGCTGAGCAGCAACGACAGATGCCCGTGGATCCTCTGGGAACCCTCAGCTGCAGGATCTGATTTCAGCTCTTACAGGGTGATAATCCCGGCTGCAACAGCCACAGGCCTGGCTAAACATGAGAGGAAAGACCCAAATTTCCAGGTGATGCCTCAGGTTTAGCTTTGATGTTTTTCAGGTTCTGGGCTGCTTTGGTGGGTGGGTCTGGGGTTCAGATTAGGGGATGGTGAGCTCTGTGCACAGAGCAGGGAGACAAAACAATTCCTGCTCCAGCTGGGCACCAAGGGCAAATAATCCAAATTCCAGCCCCAAGAGCACAAACAATGGTGGAATGGAGAGAGAAAAACAAGAAGGATGAGACTTCATAACCTAAAACTGGAATTGGACAATTTACTCCAATATGCAAATAGAGCAGAACTGAGAAAAGTGAGAGACCCCGTGACCAGTTGTCCAGTTTGTGTCCATTTTGGTTCATCTTGGGTGAAGCCCTGGCTGGGCTCTTGTGGATCCATTGAGGCTTTCTAATAAATCCCTACTTTATTCTAATAAATCCATACTTTATCACCTGCCCAAGGTGGGTCCATTGAGGCCTTTTAATAAATCCCTACTTTACTCTTTAGCTCTCCCCAGCCTCTGTTCTAGCTCAGCCTTCACCAGGCACCACAGGGATGGGGTCTGAGCTCAGCTCAAGGGCTGGTTTTGCTCATAAGTGAGACTCAAAGTCATTTTTTGGTTACTTCATTCCTGTTGGGCAACCCAAGGTGAAGGATCCCACCCTGCCCCTTCATTCCCAGGTATTTTCTGGTAGCTGGACATAACCAGGGATGGAGATTTGGGAATCTCATGGGATTGCTGCTCCTCTGCTTTGGCTCAAAAAAAGCTGAAGGGCTCAGAATCTTTCAGACAAGTCCTTCATACACCCAGATCCAGACACCAGTTTTGATGTTGAGGCTTCCCAGTAACTCTTCACATTCTGCAGCTGCCCCCAGATTGGCAATTTCCCTTTAAAAACACTAGATTTATAATGTGTCTTTAAGATCAGAAAATAAAGATGTGGAATTAAATAAAACCCACAGCAAAACAGAAAATAAAGATGTGGAATGAAATAAAATCCACACCAAAATAAAACCCATAACAGAACCGTGTTGACCTAGAGACTCCAGGACTTCAGGAGGAATTTGCAGGCAATTTTGTGGCTCCTCTCCTTTGCCTCAGCTCCAACCACAGCCTCAGCACTAATAAATGTATTTACAAGTGGTTTTTGCTCACTCCATTGAATCAGCGTGCCCAGGGTGAGTTTCCAGGTCCTGACTTCCCCCTGGGATTTTGGGAAGGGGCTGGCTGCTGGCTGAGGTCTCTGATTTAATCACTCAACCTTACCCTTCTCCTTCATTTGCAAACCCACAAGGGCGTGTGAAGAGTTTGAGTCATCTCTGAGTCAGCTCCTCTGAGCACACAGAACCCGAGGCCAGCAGCTGCAGAAAGGGAATTTTTCTGGATGATGGAGAAGGAACCATCCTGGCACGAAAGGTCTCAGGCTCCAGGCACGGTAAGCCCTTGCAGAGGTGACTTCATTTAAAGGGAGAGTGAATCCTCCAGCAGCACTGGGAATATGGGGAGAGGGGAAATGATGGATTTTTCCTCACTGCAGACCCTGAGGAGGAGCCAGCATTCCTCAGCCTCCCCCTCTGCAGGCACCTGTGATGGAGCAGCAGGACCTGGGATCCCTCCTTGTGCTGCTGAGCCAGAAAACATCACAGTGTGAAAAATATGTATTTTATGACTGGCTTTTTGCAAATATTCAAATGAATATTCTATGTGTTGTGTTAGAAAGTGATGCCGTATTAATTTTCTTAAGTAGTGTGTTAAATATAGTTTTAGGTTATAACAAAATGTTAAAATAGAAACTATGCTATGTAGGATACTTTTTTTTTCTAAAGAATGGACTCACACCAAGATAGCAGCCACAGAACACATGAATCTTTCAGAGAAAGAGAATTTATTGCTCCATTATCAGAAGAAATGAACTTTTTACTGCTTCACTCTGGCAGGATGACGCCGTCAGGATTCAGAGGAAGAAGCTGACACTGAGCAGACAGAATCCTGTGTTTGAATGGAATTTATGCATCATGGATGAATATTCAACAGGTTATTGTTTTTAAGGGTTAATCCTTTGTTAATGTGGGTCCTTTTTCAGGCTTGTGCTGCCCAGAAAAGGTACCTGGACTGCCCATAACTCTTTGTTTCTATTGTCTCACATTGTTCTAATTCAAATTGTCCAAATTATTATTACTCTAATTGTATTACTATTTTTATAACCATTTTGTTACTATTAAACTTTTAAACTTTTAAAAACAAGTGATTGGTGTTTTTCACAACAGATATCTTAGAAACAGAGAATGGTTTGGGCATAGGGAACCCTTCAACACAAACCATGAACCAAACCCCTCGGGCTTGTGGAGGGACCTTAAAGATGGTCTGGTTCCAAACCCTCACTATGGGGGTTGATTTGATCTTAATATGATTGGAAAGGTTGTGAGAGCAGGGTGCTCAGGGGAAGGGTGAAATGGTGGGGCAGGAAAGATCCACAAGTTTTTGGGATAAGAACCACTCAGGGGTGGCTACAGGCTGATATATAAAATAAATATATGTGTGTGTGTGTGTAAATATATATATATATATAGATAGATAGATAGATACAGACATATTTTCTGAAAAATCCTTTGCTAGGATTTTTTCTCCTGAGAAGCTGAGAGGCCTCAGAGGAAAAGAAAACCAATAATTATCTGCTGCTGTGGAATGCAACAGGTGCATCTTTGATTGGTCCATGTGAGTTGTTTCTACTTGATGACCAATGACAGCCACCTGTGTCGAGGCTGTGAGCAGCCACAAGATTTTATTGTAATTTCATTCCATTTCCTTCATTTCAAGCCTTCTGATGAAATCCTTTCTTCTATTCTTTTAGTATATTTTCTTTCAATATAATAGATATAATTTAATTACATCATATCATAATATATACATTTTTTAAAATATAATATAGATCATAAAATAATAAATCAGCCTTCTGAAACATGGAGTCAGGATTCTCATCTCTTCCCCTGGGATCCCTGTGAACCCCACCACAAGAGGCAGATGGTGGAGGTGGAAGGAATGATGGAGCAGAAGGAGCAGAAGGGTCTTTTGCAACTGGGAGGGAATGGAAACCAGTGCTGGAGAGGCTCTGGAGCCAAGAGCACAGCACAGGCCTCGTTCCTGGCACTGAATTGCCATGGAATTCATCCAGCCCTGATTGCAGCAGGTGTCAGAACAAACCCCTTCAATTAGAGCAAGAGAGAGAGAGGCTCGATGGGGAGGATGAGAAAATCAAGAGAGGCCATTTCATGCCAGACCCTCTTGGATCTGGCTCTGACAGATCCCAGCTCATCCCACTGGGGTGTTTGATTCCTTGTTCCTCCTGCTCTTCTCCTCTGCTGTGGGTTTCTGACACTTAGGGAATAACCAAATAATTCCCATTATTTAGGGAATAAATGGAGCAAAACTTCCATTTCCTCAGCTTTCCTCATTACTGCTTCTTAGGATTTTAAGTTTTCAGCCATCTGATAAATAAAAATCCTGCCTTTCCCACACAGCTCTGTGTCCTACACCCACCAACAAGTGAAAATAATCATTTTCTTATATGAAAACCAAAGTACAATCAAATAGTGTTTTTCTAGATGCCTGCTCATCCTCCAAGGTAGGAAATTAATTCCAGAGAGAATCTTGCTGAACTCCAAGGCCTGACAAACTTTTCAGCCTGTAATCATTTTTCAGAGCAAGGGAAAACAAAATACATAAAACAGACAAATGGAAATATCACTAATCCCATCATGGCTGCAGAGGAAAGGGTAATAAGGAGGAAGATGACAGAGTGGAATTGTTCCACAGGGAGTTTTCAGCTCGGGTTTTCTATCTCCTGAGCTTTCCTGACCACTGCCTTGCCTGGGAGGCACTTGGAGCTGCCACCACCATCTGGGACAGAGGAAGATTTTGGGGTTCAGACTGAAAAAAGGGGAATTTTGGTTAGGTATACAGAAGGAATTGTTCCCTGTGAGGGTGGGCAGGCCCTGGATCCCTGGAAGTGCCCAAGACCAGGTTGGACAAGGCTTGGATGGAGCTGGGATAGTGGAAGCTGTGCCTGCCCGTGGTGGGGAATGGACTGGGGTGATCTTTAAGGTCCTTCCAACCCAAACCACTCCATTATTCTGTGATTTGTTGGTTTTTATTGAATTGTAACAGGTTTTTGTTAACACAGAATCTCATTAAGGCTGGAGAAGGCCTCCAGGATCAAGCCCAACCCTAATCCCACCATGCCCTCTAAACCACATTGTGACATGAGGAAGACAATTGCCAGCTTCCATAGAGGAAGAAAAACCCCAATTTTGGTGGGAGTGGAAAATTTTAGGAGCATTAAAAGCCACCAGAGTGAGCATTAGACACCCACACCCATTTTACACTGTGCACAGCAGAACTGGACTTAAACCCTGGCTTAACTGGGAGGAAAAGGTTGAAATGCTTTGATGAATTGAGGTTCTTCAGAAGGAACAGAAACTCTCTTCAAGAAAGCATCACTGACTCAGCTCCAAACATGACCCACCATCCAGGCAGCCCTGCCATTGAGCTGTGGCCATCTCTTCTTCCTCTCTGAAATTTGAGGATCTGAACTGCAAAGAAATTACCCCATCTTCCAAAAAAAAAAAAAAAAACCCACCTCAAAACCCCCAAATCAACCCCCCAAAACTAAATTTTCAAAAGTCAGCAACCAACCCTGTCAGCAAACTTTTCACATCTGCCAATTATAGCTCAGCCCCCCTCACTTTGTCACTCAAGTATCACCTGCAAGATCAACCAGCCCTTTATCCAAGTGTTTGGCATCTTTCTTGCAGAAAGATTTAAGGGATCTCGCAAAGAAAAGCTGTTCTCAGTTTTATTTTTCTATTTTAAGTCTTGCTTATTTAAGAATATTTGTCTCAGTGGTTAAACCCCTGATGTTTTACCTGTTGCAAAGGAGAAAAAAGCAGCAACACTTGCTCAGGAAAGTAGCTTAAAAACACCTCCCAGGGGTCCAAATGATTTATTCTCTCTTTGGTCCTTCAGCCTCCTCTTCTATTAAAACACGGGTGAAGTTTAACCCTCTGAAAATTAATTGCTGACAAGTTCCTGCTATGATGTATCTCTCCAGAGGTTTTGTTGGCACCTGAGAGCTGCTGCTTTGCACATCTGTACTAAAAACTGTCTGCTGGCCATAAATCCTGCCCTCTGCTCCTTTTTATATTCCAAATGGGAGTGAGGGCCAGCTGGAGAGGGGGAATTAGCCAGGCAGGCACTTCCCAGGCAGCCACAGAGCTGGGCTGTGCCTCCAGCTAACGAGGAGGGAGAAGCAGAGACTGCCAGAGCTTTATTGATGATTTGGGACGACCATCAGAAAGCCCCAACAATAAAATCACTGCAATTGCTGCTTCGTGCATGCAGGTTAAACCTCCTCCAGCTTTCCCCATCATTTCATTTCCCCCCACCCTTTCCCCTTCAGGTGAAAGGAAAAAGCTGTTTTTGAGCAGAACTAAAAAACCAGCAATGCTACCACCAAGGAAAAGCTGTCAAACTCCAAGCTCAGAGAGCTCAGAACTGCTTTTGTTCTTTTGAATGGGGCAGGGAAAGAAGTAATGCATGAAAAATGGAACAAGGTGTCAGTATTTATATCCACAAAGGCAAGGCAAAGGAACAGCTCCTTGATAATGGCTTTCCTGCCACCAGCCTGGGAGCCCTCAAAGGGAGGGATAAAAGCAGGGCACGATCTGAGCAGCTCAGCTCATGCAGAGGAAGAAACTCATCTGAGACACATTATTTGCCAAGCATGACCTTTGTTGGCTTGATGGGGACCTCATGAGCTGCAGGTCTAAAGGTCTTTGGCACCTGGAGGGGGAGCAGCATCCACCACATGAGTGGATTTTCAGCCCCACCACAACTGCTGCTTCAATTTTCCCTCTGGTTAAGAGCTGATCCTTTTGCAGGTGAGGAGAAATGAGCAGAAAATCATGGGTGTAGCTGGGATTGACATTTTTCACTTGGCTACTGTGAGTT